TGCAGTTATATAACTGTGATAGCACTGGGATTTAAACCTAAGGTGTGTGTTTCCTACTTTGCTTCTACTTGATGTGAAACCTGTTACCCAATGAGACACCGTATTCATCTTAGGACAGGATATTCTTATTTTGAGGTCTTTTTCCAGGTGTTTTACACATAGGTCCATGGTTCTCTATGGTTGAATATTAAATTGAGAGTTTTAAAATATAATCGGATCTTCTCCCCACATAAAACTGATATGGGATAGGACCTGTGTGTTTATTCACTTCATCTATTTGCCCACTCCCAAGTGATTATAATAATGTAGTTGTACTGAGAAACATTGACCTATAAACATTTTTTTTTTTTTTTTTGGTACCGGAGATTGAACTCGGGTCCTTGCACTTGCAAGGCAGGCCACCAAACCGCTGAGCTAAATCCCCCGGCCTGAACATTCTACTCCTTCAGTTCATGTGAAACAAGCGGAAGCCTTCTGCATAATAGTCTTTGGATCAATTAAGAATGTTTTCATGACCCTTCTCCCTTACTCCTTCTGTGGTTTAAAGATTTCCCATCTTTTCACAAAGGATAGCCATTACCTTCTCTAGTCCTTAGATCCGTGATGCTGAACCTTTTGAAGTTTTCAGTGATAGTGAACAGTTGGCTATGGCATGCATGCCATAGGTTCACCACTACTGACTTAGATGTTCTCCAGTTTTCTTTACTCTGAAAGTGTTGTGCCCAGAAATGATTCCAGCACTGCAAGTATGGTCTACCTCGGGAAAAGTAAAGCAAGACTAACAAATTTTACTCCAAGTCTTGTTCTTTTAAGCAGCTCAAGATCACACCTTTCTTATTGTGGATATGGCATGCTTTTGAGTGACAGTATACTCATGGATATCCCCCAAAGTTCTTATATCTTGTTTTCTACATACCATTAGGCCACTTAAAAAACATTAATAGACTTTATTTTTTAGAGCTGTTTTAAATTGAAAGAAAAACTCAACAAAATACACAGAATACCTATATTCCCCTCTCCTTACCTACAGCTTTCTCTGTTACTAATATCTTGCATTAGTATGTTATATATGTTGATCAGTGAACCAGTATTGATCCATTATTAACTAAAGCCAGTAGCTGTTTTGGGGGTTCACCTTTATGTTGTGCAGTTCTGTGGATTCTGACATATGGATAGTGCATGATGTTCACCATTCCAGTATCATACAGATTAATTTTCCTGCCTTAAAATTCTCCTGCGCTTACCTATTCTTCTGTCCCTCTGCCACTGATATTTTTATTGGTGCCAAACTTTTGCCTTTTTGGAAAGTCATATAGTTGGACTCGAGCAGTACATAGCCTTTTCAGGTTGGCCTCTTCTATTTAGCAGCATGCTGGCTATTGACTTCTTTTCTGTAGCATTTTAGGTTCCTCCATTGTCTTTTTTGTGCCTTGATAGCTCATTTCTCTGCAGTGTTGAATAATATTCAGTTGTGTGTATGTATTGGAGTTTGTCCGTTTACTCTTGGAAGTAAATTTGGTTGCTTCCAATTTTGGCAGTTAGGAATAAAGTTGTTATAAACATTTCTGTGCAGGTTTTTGCATGGACATAAGTTTTCTACTCCTTTGGGTAGATCCCTAGGAGTGCTAGTGCTGGATAATATGACAAAGTCTGTGTAGTTTTATAAGATACGGTAAACTCTTCTTAAGTGTCCATAAGGTTTCACCGTCTCACCAGCAGTGAGAGCTCCTGTTGTTGCACATCCTTGCCAGCGTTTTCACCATTTTGGACTACCCATTCCATTCTAGTAGATTATATGTACAGCAGTATCTCATGGTTGTAATTTGCAGTTTCCTAATGCCAAGTGATATTGAGCATCGTTCCATATACTTTATATCCACTTGCAGATCTTGGCCTTTTCAGTTGTGTTGTCTGAGTTTTATGATATATTTTAATATGTTAATCCTTTGATAAGAAATTATTTTGCAAACATTTCTCTGGTATTTTTTTCTTGTTCTAGTTTCCAGATAGTGTCTTTTTTGCTTTTTTTTATTTTATGAAAAAATAAAACTCATAATCAAATAAGATAATAGTTATTACACTATGTATCATCTTCAAAGTAGTTACTCAGTGTAAGACATAAACCAAAAAAAGACAAGCCACAAAGATTCTTCAAAAAAAAAAAAAGAAATAATCTAATATGTTTTGTAGAGCTAAAGTTTAATTTTAATGAATTCCAGTTTTAGTTTTTTGTTTTTGTTTTTGTTTTGTTTTGTTTTGTAGTACCAGTGATTGAACCTAGGACCTTGTGTATGCTAGACAAGCCTTGTACTAATGAGCTATATCCTCAGCTCTATTAATATTTTCTTTTATGGATCTTGCTTTTGGTGATGCATCTAGAAACATTACCACCCAGGATGTAACTTAGTGGCACAGCACCTGCCTGGCAAGCACAAGGCCCTGAGTTTGATTCCCAGTACAAAAATAAAATTCATTACCACATTCAAAATCCTTTAGTCTTTCCTATGTTGTCTTCTAGAAGTTTTATAGTTTTGCATTTTACCTTTATGCAAGTTAGCCAATTTGAGTCTTTCACAAAAACTAAAAATGGATGAGTTACGTAAAATTTAAAAAGCACTATTAGAAAACTAGTAAAACTAAAAGATACCAGAGAAATGTTTGCAAAATAAATTTCTCATCAAATGATTAATAGGATTTTTTCATTTATATACTTATTCATATAATAATTTTTAAAAATTACTATCCTACTATTACCTAAGCCCATTTCTAAGTTTTGAAAATACATTCTAGACATAATTCTGTTTTTAAAGAGCTTACATTCAAGGGCCAGGGTTTTAGCTCAGTGGCACTGTGCCTGCCTGACAAATGCAAGGTCCTGAGTTCAATCCCTGGTACCGAGAAAAATAAGAAACAAAAAATACCTTCCATTCAAGGCTTGAAAGAACACAAATAAACTTGTTATTTGTGCTAAGAAAAAAAAACAAACAAAAAAACCAGAATATAATAGGGGTTATTTTGGTTCGGCTGGTCCAGGAAGACTAGTTTGATAAGATGACCTTTCAGTGAGCTATACAGATGCTTTCGGAAAGAGATTGCTGGCCAGGCATACTACATGCGCAATGGCCCTGAGGCATGAATCCACATAGGATGTTTGAGGAATAGTAAGGAGGCCAGTGTGGTTGAAATGCAGTGAACAGAAGGAGAGAAAGAGAGGCTAAGGTTGAAGAAGTAATGATGAGAAGCACATTCTTCAGCTTTTTATCATGTACATGTTCACTGAATTACCATTTATCCTCATTGTTGGTAAAATGTGTAGTAATATTTTACTACTAAACTGATTGAAGGGTTGCAACATTTAGCACTCTTCCTTTGGGACCTTTATGAAAGTCTTTACAGTTTAGGAAAGAATCCTGTTTGAGATACAGTTTTCATGAACAGAGTGATTGGAGAGCCCTGACAAAATGTCCCTCAAAAATCTTCGGACAATTTGGCATACACATTGAGTTGTATCTAATCTACTTAGTGTATTCAGCATATTGTTTCTACATTTCTTCACCTCATCTACAGGGATATCAGAAAACTTGTGCAGAGCCTGCTGGAGACCAGATACAATTAGTCTAATTTCCAAATCTGTTGATCTATAATTTGTTAAAAAGGAACTGAGGATCTTAGTGAATCCTTGCAGATTCCTAATGACCACCTATCACAACCATCCTTTTAACCAAGATTGATGACTAATCCTTTTAAAAATGCCAAATATTTGAAAAATTTGTAATTATAATGCCAGTGACTTTCTCTTTAGAATAAAAATAGAACTATTCATCATAAAATTAAATGATGGTATTTTAGGGACCTCCTTTTTCCTCTTGGTAAACTGAATTAGTATCAGATTAGGATTTAGTGACTTGGTGATAACCAACAGGGTGTTCAACAGTTGAGTTCTGGAACCAGTTTCTGGTGTGAACACGGACTCCATAGGTTGAAAGGTTCTGTCTCATAATGCTGCTCACTTTAGGTACCAGTGGAAAGTTTCAGGAGGACAAGACCACATGTACTGTCCAACAGCTATAAACCCTCTTTTCAGATTGGATGATTTACTAGAATAACTAAGACTCAGGAAAACTCTTTACTTACATTTACTGTTTGATTACATAGGGGCTAATTCAGGAGCAAATATATTTAATTTCATTTATTAATGTGCCTAGTGTACTTTCAGTTGTAGGAAATGTTTACTTTGTCATTGTTAATTGCATTATGTCTTCTAAAATTTAGTGTTGGTTTTAGAGGTATATACCTTATTGGTGGCTGAAATGGTTCATTTAAGTCTCTGCATGCATCTGAGATGAAACATTGTCATTAAGCACGGCAAAGCTTAGGTATTCTTTTGTGAGTACTTTGAAACACACCTGTATTTTTATGTATAAGCATAGCAAAACTCTATAGTACAGTACTGATGATGAAACATTACTTTTCTAATTGCTTTATGTTCTGCTTTGTAACAGCAGCACAAGGAAGCTAGTACCACCTCTCTCCAACACACATAATTTAATTGATAAGGAAGTTAAGATCCAGGGAGTTTAAAGCCATTCAGCTGAAAAGTAGCAGTTAATCTAGGTCTCTCCTGCCCAGACATCTGTGTTCTTTCCATTATATCTGCTGCTTCCTATTTGCATATACACTTGACTTCTGTCTTCTTATGAATAGCAGTGGGAATATTTGCTAGCCTGGAAATGAGTCCTTTGAGTAGCTCTCTAACTGGAGCAGTTATTGAGTTTCAATTTTATATGTAAAGAGCTGAAGTTTCCAAAGTCCCTTCTGGATCTAAAAGTACAAAACTATACATAATTGCTTTCATAGCTGTTTGTATTTTTTTATTTCTACCAATTATGTAAAATTCAAGGCGAGTCTGTAAAAAGTGTTTAAAGAAAGTATTCTGTATATTCAATGTTTGTACCTGTGGCCCTAGATAGTAAATTTATCAATTTTCCTTTGTATTTCAGACAGATTATGAGGGACAAGCAAAGAAACTCCTGGAGCTGATGGAAAACACAGATGTGATCATTGTTGCTGGAGGGGATGGAACCCTACAGGAGGTAGGACTTTTTTCTCTTTGAGGCTATTTTGAAGGTGAGAAAAATGAAAATTAGATTGTAGATGCTTATGTATTTTTGATTTTTATATCTCTTCCTGTTGAATTGTTCCCTTAACCAGTATGTAGTGACCTTTTTTTTTTTTTTTTTTGTCTCTTCTGACCAGTCTTGGCCTGAATCCTCTTTGCACTTAGAATAGCTATTCCTTCTTTTTTCTAGGTTCCTATTATGTGAAGTATTATTTTCCATCCTTTGAATTTCAGTCTATGAATTTCATTTTGTATTAAATATCTTCCTTCTATGTAGCATATTGTTTGATCTTGTTTCTTGATCCATTCTGCTAATCTGTGTCTTAATTGGTGAGTTAAGACCATTTACATTAATAGTAATAACTGATATTGACTTATCTTTGTCATTATATTATTTTCCTGTTGCTGGTTCCCTTTCTTTTTTTTGTATTTAATTGTTCCTCTGTTCTGGCGGATTCATTCTATTGGGCTTTTTGGCATTGATGTCTTTGTTGTCTCTTCTAGGATGTCCTTGAATTTTTTTGAGTGCTGATTTGGTGTTCATGAATTTCTTTAGATGTTCTTTCTCTTGGAAGTATCGTATTTCCCCAATTTTGAAAAATAATTTTATGGGATGCATCAGTCTGAGTTGGAGGTTATTTTCTTTTAGGGATTGAAACACTTCACTCCAAGCTCTCCTTGACTTTAGAGTTTGTATTGAGAAGTCTGCCACAATTCTGCTGGGCTTTCCTTTAGAGGTGCTTTGTTTCTTAGTGTAGTTATAATTGAAGCAGAAATTATTTTTGAAATTCATTCTTTTAGGATTGTTGCTCTCAAATTCTCAAATTTAATAAAGGTCTAGATTTTTCTCATGCACTTTTATTACATTGGTTTTGTAAACCCTCTCTTTGTGTAGCACATGGAAAGGCTTCTGTGTTATCAAATTCCAGTTTGATAAAATTGAGTAACAAGAGGCAAATGGTTTTGGGTCAGATAAACTTACTCCATTTTGAAGGCTTGTGTGAAGCAGCCCTGTTTGAAATGGAATTGTAATTTGTTGTGAGGACTGTGTCTTATAAAGATTCCTTTTAACTATTCTCATATTTCTGTCATACAATGTTTTCTTTTAACACTACATCTATAGGAAGAGGGGCTACACGTTCAGGTATGTGCACCTGGGTTCCCCACTAGATTGAATCCAGGGCTTTTCATATGCTCAGCAAATGATCTGTCACTGAGTTCCATCCTCAGTCCTGCCTTTTTTACTATTGTGTATCCTCAGTGTGATACCACTGCACACCTAATAGGATGGCCCAATTCCAGAACACTGACAGTGTCCAAAGCTGGTGAGGAACCATCATCTTTTGCTGGTGGGAATGCAGGATAAGCAAAAATGCAAAATAGCATAGCCACTTTGGAACAGTTGAGTGGTTTCATACAAAACTAAAAATGCTTCTCCTGATCCAGCAGCTGTGTGCCATAGTATTTACCCAAAGGACTTGAAACCTGATTTCCACACACAAGCCTGCACATGACCAGTTTCCCGCAATGAATAGAATCATTGTGCACTGCAAACATGTACCAGTAAAAATAAAATCAAACTATATATGTACATATTAATAAGGGGAAAAAAGCCCACACAAGGGTGTGTATAGAAGCTTTCTACATAATAAGAATTGCCAAAACTTGGAAGCAACTAAGATATCCTTCAATGGGTGAGTAGTTAAAGAATGGCACATTCAAGCCTAGCACAAGTGGCATGTACCTGTAATCTCAGCACTCTGGGAGGCTGAGGCAGGAAGATTTCAAGTTTAAGCCCAGACTGTGCAACATGGTGAGACCTTGTCTCAAAATAAAAACAAATTTTAAGAAAAGGGTTGAGGATTGAGCTCAGTGTGAAGGTCCTAGGTTCTTCCTCAGTACTGTGACACAACAACAACAAAGTGTGATACATTCACCCAGTATTTGCCACTATGAGAAGTCATGGAAACTTAGATACCTATTGCTAAGTGAAAGAAGCCAATGTGAAAAGGTTACACACTGTAGGGTTTCATTATTTGACATCTGGGAAGGGAAAAGCTCTGGAGTTATAAAAAAGATCCATGGTTACTAAGGGTTGGCTAAAAGAGGGGCAAATAAGCAGGCAGATCATGTAGCATTTTTAGAGCAGAGAAGAACTACTCTGTGGCACAGTAAAAGTGGATGTATATCATTTTTGGTGTAGGCTCATCATCTGTAACAAACACACCATCCTGTTGGGAGATGTTGACAGATGTGTAGGGGCAGGTGTTACATGGGAAATCATTGTACCTTTTCTCAATTTTGCCACGAACCTAAAACTGCTTTTAAAATAGCTTATTACTTTTAACAAGTGACATATCCATACCACTTACTGTGGGCCAGTAAGCACTGCAGGGGCATTGTCCTGCAAGTGTTCTTTCTCCGCCCAGGAGGCCAGGGCAGTCAGTAAATGTGGGAAACCTCTAATGAGCTCCAGGTTGGAGATATTGCCCGATGCTCAAGTGTGGGGTTGTATACTGTATTTCAAGTCCACAGCTCACCTCTGGTCACCTTCATCTTGGAAGGCCTCATCAATTTGCAGGGACCAGAAGGTAACAGCAGACATGGCTGTCCTAGGGAGTTGGCACCAACATATGCCTCTGTAAGCTTCTTTAAAAAGGCTGCACTAATGATCTTAAAATTGTTTTTATGGCTTTTTAATGAAGAGTGCTGTTCATGGATGGCATGAAATAATGACGTAGACCACTTGACAGTTCCATGCCCTCCTGAGGCTCAGTGAAGCAGAAGATGGAGTGAGATTTGTGTCAGCCCTGGGTTGATAATGGTTTTGGGGAAAGACAATAAATTCTGAATTTGGCTTAATCAAAATCATACCAAATAGGCATCAATGAAAAAAGGGACTCATAGGAAATATACCTGTATTCATCAACATACCTGCCACTGGGACGAAGTACCCGACATGCACAACTTGAAGGAGTTTATTTTGCCTCATAGTTTCCATCATAGTTCAGTGCATGGTTGGATGGTTTCAAGGCAGAATGGCATGGCCAGATGGCATGGTGGAGGAAAACCATTCACTGCATGTAGCCAGGAAGCAGAGACAGGAGATGCTGGGGATGAGACTGTACCCTTCCATGTCCTGTCCCAGTGACCTGCTGCTTCTGACCAGCCCTACCTCCATTCTTGAGACTTCTGTGGGACATTTTGAGTCTAAACCAAGACAGTACCCAAATTTGAATACATGATATTCATTATCCAGCATGGTGGAATTATCAGTAATTATTTTTTCTTGTATTTTTTATAGTTTTATGGGAATATTACTATCTCCTTTGCCTTCATATTTATTTCTCAGTAAGAAATATTTGAGTGTGGATTTTTTTAGTGTAACAAGGTGTTTTTTCTTCTATTCCTACTTCATAGTAGTAAACTAGGCTCTTTCATATAATTGGTATGTACATCACATTTATATGGAACTTAAAACATTACTAAACTTATGTTTTAAAAATATTAATGTGGAGTTCCTATAATTAGCATTTATTAGTCTTAGGTCAAAAATAAAATGTAATATAACTGATCATATTTTAAAATACTGTATGTTTTAAGATCCAATACATCACTTAACATAGTGTCTAGAAAGAAAATAAGAATAAATTTATGGTCCATAAAAATTGAATCCAATGCTTTTATGTTAAGGGAAATAAATATTGTTTATAATTTTTTTTTATTTGTAGGTTGTTACTGGAGTTCTTCGAAGAACAGATGAGGTAAGCTTTTAAGAGAAAAACTGCCTTTTACCTTTAAAGTGGGCACAAATTGTGAGTAGATTGATTTTTAGAAAAGATTTTACTGTGATATTTGTCTCTATGACCCATGGTGAGCTTTCTGTATTGGTAATCCATAGTACCCAATAAGTTTTATTAAGAATTGTTTAAAGCCAGGCGTGGTGGCTCACGTCTGTAATCCCAGCACTCGGGAGGCTGAGGCAGGAGGATCTCTATGAGTTTGAGACCAGCCTGGGCTACAGAGTGAGTTCCAGGGCAGTCTCAACTACCTAGTGAGACCCTGTCTCAAAAACCAAAAATAAATAAATAAATAAATAAATAAATAAATAAATAAATAAATAAATTGTTTAAAATATAAAATTTCCTTATGGAATCTTTTCTTCAGAAAATTGTGGCATGTTCATGGAGTGAGAGCCAGGCAACAGTTAAATGAATGAACTAGATCTATAAAGATCTACGTGTTTAAGTCTCAAAAATATTGAATAAAAAAAAGACAGATTGCCAAAGTATATTACGTATTTCCACAAAGTTTTAAAATTCAGATAATAGTACTCCACATTGGTGGATATTTGTGCATGTAAGAAGAGGACTCCATAATGTGAACAGAAAGGAAACACCAGCCACAGTACAGTTTTTCCTCAGGAAAGAGACCCAAGAAAAGGGCCATAAGGAGCTTCATTGTTCTCTCTGTCATTTTATGTCTGGTAACACCTGAAACAAAATGGCAAATGTGAACCCTTGTTAAATCTGGATCATGAGCACATGGGTTCTTGTAATATTAATGTTCTTATCTAGGATAGTTTAAAATATAACTAAAAAAATTCTCCCTTTGGTAATACTAGACTGTGTTCAAAATAGTGTTTAGGAATCTTAGTGTTTTGTATTTGCGACGTTTAGTTAAATCAGCTGCTATGCCATATCCTTCTGCTACTTGAATTTTCTTATTCTCTCAAGAGATAATTGATAAAGTACTTTCACTTATCATTGAACACTTCTACAAATGGTAGGTATTTTTACTTGAATTTTATCTGCAACTTTTAAAAATAGTGTTATAGTGTAATAGCCTGTCACACTAGGGCATGATCCAGTATCAATTCGTAAGACTCCTTACCCTAAATAGATTTCTTTCAGTTGTTGTTAATGAGTACTCATATATTTTTTCCAAATTCTACATTGTCTTACTTTCTTGACAGCTTCATTTTAGAAGCTGCTGACTTCATAGTATTTACTGCGTAGAGATGTGGGAAGGTGACAGGAGGCAGGGCAGGGCCAGTTACTCTGTCCTAGTGGACACACTGTCGCTTCATTAAGTGTATTTCTAACAATAAATTTTCCTCTGTTTTTTCCCCCTAGGCTACCTTCAGTAAGATTCCCATTGGATTTATCCCACTGGGACAGACCAGTAGTTTGAGTCATACCCTGTTTGCTGAAAGTGGAAACAGAGTCCAGTAAGTTGTCAATGTGGAATATTAGCATTTGTGGGTGAGTGAGCCTGGGAATGGAAATTCACATGTATGGTATGTTTTGTTTTGCTAACTTGAAACTTCAAATAATTGAGAAGAAGGCCTGTATCAAGGTTCAACCTTCAGTTTTTTCTGAGGTTTCCCATTTGGGTTGTGGGACTTTGCTATATATAATAAGTTCCCAAGCCATCTATGGAGATGAATATTTTATATGCTTTGTCAGTTATGAAGATGCCGGCTCTGACACAAACTGTGTGCTTTTACTTTGGAAGATTGTTTTGGGAAGGCAAATTTATATAGATCATTTGTTTGCTTTATACAAAATGACAAATAGCAAATCCCTTGTAAAAACCCATACCCTTGGCTTCATTATTTTGATAATATAAATAGCTAAAAGGACTAAATATTGTCAGATCCTTTTGGGAATGCCTAAGGTGGTAGACAGTATGGGTAAACAGGGAAAGCAGGAGTCCAGCAGATTGTTTCTGTTACTCTTTTCTCATGAAAGCATTATATGAACAAAGCCCTGGTCTCTCAAGAAAAAGGCATCTTGAATTTGGAGTCCGGCTTTCATAGTTATTAATACCCTTGAGCAAGTGGTTGTCAAGAAGATCTAAAACAGAAATATCTGAGACATAGCTACTTATTTTTACTGTTGGATTTGTGACACATTGAAAAAAATCAGTAAATATTTCTTGAGTAAATGAACAATTTCTCATAACTTTTCTAACTATAACTTTCAAGAATCAATAATACTCATGTAATTTTCTGTTTTGGTTAAAGATTTTTTTGGGCTTTGGAATTCTTTGTGTTTGTAAATTTGTTTTGTTGTAATTTTAGGAGTCAGCTTTTAATAATTCTATATTCTTTATAAAAGCCTTGGTCCATCTATCAGACACAGCTGGGCATGGACGTAGGCATATATCATGCCTTTAATCTTCTCTCGTGCCTCAAACTTTAATATAATGGGTGTCATTAGCTACTCCCCTGCTATGCTGAGACCTCATAAACAGAAGAGACCTTTTCAATTTGCCATAATTTTTCTTCCCAGTGTAGATTTTTTGGAGGGGAGGGAATACTGGGGATAGAACCCAGTGACTTGTACTTTACTGATGTTTTTATCCCCAGATGCTTTTAAATTTTATTTGAGACTTCATAAGTCTTAGTAAGTTGTCCGTGCTGGCTTCTAACGAGCAATCCACCTACCTCAGCCTCCTAAATAGCTGGAATTACCAGAGTGTACCACTGTGCCGGGCCCACTTGAGAAGTTATGACAAGCAATAAGTATGCAATGACAAGTGAATTGCTCATATTTTTGCTAATCTGACATAAATACTATCTGATTCAGGTCTTGGTTATATTAGAGAATTTGGGTTTTTCTTGGGGCAGCAGAGATTTCTTTTTTGAACACATTAGCCAACATTTCCAAGTAGTGTATGTCTGTGGTCAGAGCTGGACAACTTTCCTTGGAGAACCCCTTGCCTGTCCCAAAGCCAATTTAGGCGGAATATGGCAGCCCTCGGAATCTGAGATGGCATTCCATTTTGCGGGGAGCCAGTTTTCTCCTGTTGTTATACTACTGTTGGTATTTTGTTTATGATTTAAATATTTATAAAATTAATTTATAAGCATATCCTGGAGCATTTAGGTAATCACCTAACTCTGCCCTGAGTTCAGAATTTTGTAGACCTCCAAATTGGCAGTTGCCTAAGTCTATTTTTGTGGGTTTTTTTTTTGGCCTTTTG